ACAGAAATGTTTACAAGTGATTGGTACATTATAAATCAAAGAATTGTAGTTACATAAATGGTTAACTCATAGGCCTAGAATATCACACAAGTATTTAGCAAATATGGGATAATAAAATTATTCTGACAAGCAACAACAAAACAAAATCCCGTTTGTTAAGTGAGAGGAGCAGAAGACAAACAGACTGAGCTGCACTTTCTTGTTCTTGTGGTTTTACAGAAACATCACGTCTTGGTCTCGTTGCAGTGGAAGGTGTTTCTTGGTGAACAGTTGGAGCCTTTCACTTTGGCGTTTGACTTTTTAAATTCGTAACCGAGTTTGAGCGAGGGATCGGGGTTTTGTTTTGTTGGCAATGTTCCAGCAGACCAGAGGGACACTTCTGATTACTGAACTGAATTCTTTGGAGGTAATTGGGAAATTTGCCACAGTCATTAAATAAATAAGTCCCGCAAAAATATTATTCCTCTGTTGATCCATTCAGTTAAAAATATTGATTTGTTTTGTAAGATAAAATCAATATTGTTGGACCGGCTCTTTTCACGTTTACGTCATAAACCGGGAAGATGTTTGGAAACATGCGATGGCGACTTTGCAGTGTGGAGCGACGACAAAGCAAAACCCCGATCCCTCGTTCAACCTCGGTTACGAATTTAAAAAGTCAAAGTGAAAGTGAAAGGCTCCAACTGTTCACCAAGAAACACCTTCCACTGCAAAGAGACCAAGACGTGATGTTTGCTGTAAAACCACAAGAACAAGAAAGTGCAGCTCAGTCTGTTTGTCTTCTGCTCCTCTACATTAACAAACGGGATTTTGTTTTGTCGTCGCTCCACATACAAAATGTTCTCTGTAAACTCGGGATAATTTCTTAGTCAGACAAATGTTTCCTTTTTGGTTCTTCCTGTGGATCAATCCTGCCCATCACCTTCACCTTTCACTATTTTTCAATTCCGTTGGGAAGAGAAACAGTTTGAACGGAGGTTTGAGTCACACACATCTGATTCACTTTTGCATTTATGAAGTTCACAAACAAATTTCTCGAGTCGTTTTCCGCTGTTAGGATCCAACAACCACACGATTACGATGTCCGAATCCCAAAACTAAAATATGACAATATCAGAACCAGAAACAAAAGTGATATGGTTCAAAAGACTTGAAAAGATCGACTTTGTCAATAGACACGTCCCACTGGGAAAACAAACATGGAGGTTTGACGCTCACTTTCTCGGAAGATCATTCCCAGTGTGGACTGCACGATAACTGTTCTTGAAAATTACCATAAGGGGGAAAAAAAAGCACCAACAGAAGTCCTTGAGATTATAACTGACCCACAAGTGAGTCGAGGAAGGACAATGTTACTCGCTCTTTTCACAATTTTATTTATACAAAACCGTCCCAACTCAGGTGTGTCCAAGTTTTGAAATGTGAAAATCTGGTCACCCTGATTCTGATTCTGCAAAGGTTCAGTTGTGATTGTAGAACAGGTTTGAAGAAAGTAAGAGTCAGATTATAAACAGGTCTGAGATTCTGTTATTTGAATAGATCCACTGGACACTGGAGCCGCGCCTACAGGAAGTGGGACGGACTTCAGGAATCTAAAGAGGAAGAGCCAGAGCTGCTCTACAGCTGAGACGTGACAACGGTAAATCACACATTTCATCTGCGTTTCTCATGTTTCTTTTTCTTTTCTCATGTTTTTCTCATTTCTCACTGTATTTTTACATCTCAAAATGTTGATTTTAGAGACAGACTGACGGTATCTGCTCCTAAAGTTCAAAAGTGGATATTCAGATGCAGAAGAACAGTGGAGATATTCATGACCTTTAGTTAATGCATTTTTTCAATATCTTCCAGGTCAAATAATTTAAAAAACCCCAAACCAAGTTATTATAGTGTCCCTACTCCTCAGGAATCACACACACCTTTTGCTTTTCTAATTTAACCCTTTGTGGAATTTTTAGGAATTTTCAAACTTGAAAATCAAATATTTTCACAATGTTTTCATTCTGCACTCTTCTCTCCAATTTATGTCTCTCTTTTTTAATTTTAATCTTCATGATTATTTATGTTTTGATTTGTTTTTATTATGATTTTAATGTATTTCTTATTCTGTAAAGCACTTTGAATTACTTTGTGTACGAATTGTGCTATACAAATAAACTTGCCTTGCCTTGCCTATTTTTTTCAGTAGTTTCTAAAGCAGATGACCTACTAACTCCAGACCAAGTTAACCAAGTTACCCTTAGGGGCTATTGAAAAAACAAAAACAAAACAAAACACAGATTTGCAAGGGAAAAAAATCCCAAAAATCCTACAAAGGGTTAAATTGGAAAACCAAAATGTGTGTGTGATTCCTGAGGAGTAGGGACACTATAATAACTTGGGTTGGGGTTTTTAGATTACTTGACCTGGAAGATATTGAAAAAATGCATTAACTAATTAACCCTCAAAATACATAAAAATAACCAATGTTTTATAAAACATACATGCACAATCCCTTATTTTATTTATTTTATATGATTACATTTTTTTTTTTTTTTTTGCAAACTCCATTCAATGCAATTGTAATTTATTGACGGTCCCTAACCCGTGGACTCAGTGGAGTTTTGGTGCACAGTTTCCCACACTGTGATGGAGCAAACAGGACACAGGTCATGAATCTCTCCACTGTTATTGTGCATCTGAATATCCAACGTCTGATGTGAAACTAACTTCACCACGGGATAAATCTTTTATTTTCACTCTTATATAAAGTTGGTTTTAAACAGTTTTACACAGTAAAGTTTTTATATATTTGTTTGAAATGACAATGATTTGTTTGTTTTCACTGACACTGAGTCAGTGAAACTTTTAATGCGTCACAAGCTCTTCGTGCACAGATCAACCTTTGGGGAAAATAAATTGTAGCCGTGACTGGACGTTGTCCTGGACATAAATGTGCGTCATGTGGATTCATTAATTAATTTTAAATTTATTAATTTTTTTCAATATCGTCCAGGTCAAATAACCTAAAAACTATAAACTAAATTATTATAATGGTTCTAGTTCTCAGGAATCACACACACCTTTTGGATTTACAAATTAACCCTTTGTGGGATTTTTTTTTCCTCATTGAATATCAGTGATTTATTTTATTTATTTTTTTCAATAGCTTTTACAGCAGGAGACCTGGCAACTCCAAACCAAGTTATTATAATAGTCCTGGGCCTCAGTCATTTTTTTTCACTGAATTTCAAGGGAAAAAATAGATTAAAGTTCTACAAAAGGTAAATTTATAAATCCAAAAGATTTGTGTGATTCTTGAGGACTAGGACCACCATTATTCATTAACCCTCAAAATACATAAAAATATCAAATGTTTTATAAAACATACGTGCACAATCCCTTTTTTATTTTTATTTGTATTAAGTTTATTTTTTTTCCCAGTTGTGTTTGATTGTTTCAGCTGATTATGTTTTTAAACAAACTCCGTTCAGTCCAGGTGGAGTTTATTGATGGTCTGAGCTGCACTTCGCTTCAGGACACTGCTCCTAATTTAACTAAATTAAAGTGAATCACATCTAATGTTGTTATGTGACAAAACAACAGGTCAGTCAATCTAAATACAAATGGTAGCTTTAACAAATTAAATTATTAAAATTTTAAATGGTTCCAAGAACACATGGAGCTACACAAGGTGTACACGTGTTAAACCTTTTCTTATTCAAATAAATGTTAATGTAATAATATTTTTGCTTAAACATTGAATCCAGAACAAGCAGAATATAAAATAATAACATAATTTTAAATAAATCATGTCTCTATTCTCTGTCTGTGTGCGTCTGCAGCTCTAATACAGATTTGAGATGATCTCACAGGCCAAATATAATTATATCATGGGCCAAATTTGGCTCCCTGGCCTGAGTTTGACATGTCTGGCCTAATATGTAAGTTGAGTGTGTGTGAGTGTTGGTGGTCAGAGGGGGCGATGGCGCAGATTGGCAGCCACGCTTCTGTCAGTCTGCCCCAGGGCAGCTGCGGCTGCAATAGTATCTTACCACCACTGAGTGTGGAGTGAATGAATAATGATCTGTAAATGTCTTTGTGACAAACGTCTTTGAAAAGAGCTATAGAAATAAAAACTTACCTACCTACTTATTTACTTATTTATTTACTTTCCTACTTATTTATTTACCTACTTATTTACTTACTTATTTATTTACTTTCCTACTTATTTATTTATCTATAGGGGTGGCACAGTATGCATATTCATATTCAACATCACGGTACAGGGGTTACAGTTCGGTGTGAGCATTTTCACGTAGACTACACGGTACAAAATAAAGTCTGGAAAAAAAATTAAATTAACCAAACGTGGAACTGTTGTGTCGCGTGAGAGTTCCTTCAGGACGCATTTAACCATTTGCATCTGAAAACTCAGATTGAAAGGTAGGTGACCTTTTCCCGAGCAGTCAAGTCTCAAATGCAGAACAATACAGGATTACTCAAACATGCAGGAATCTCTCTAAACTGAAAAACTGTTACGTAATGGTTTAAATAACCTCTTTAACGTCTCTCTCTGGTTTTGAGGTAAGGTCTGTCCTCTGTTCCCTCAGGGTGCTGTGTTGGAGTTTGTAGCAATAATCTGAAGACTCATCTGCAGCAGAGATTCAGCCGTGTGCCACCAGGACCTCCAGCTACTGTTCCCCTTCACTTTCAGAGATCTGAACGTGCTCAGAGACACACAGTTCAGCCTGTTGGAGCTGCTGCACCACTTCTTCAGTCCATCCAAACATCTCTGCAGCTTCCAACAGCTCCAGGTGCTCTTCATCTTTGACGGTCTGGACGAGTGCAGACTTCCTCTGGACTTCAGCCAAACCCGGGTCCTGACTGACCCCACAGAGTCCACCTCAGTGCACGTGCTGCTGGTGAACCTCATCAGGGGGAGCCTGCTTCCCTCCGCTCTCCTCTGGATAACCACGCGCCCCGCCGCGGCCAATCAGATCCCGGCATGGTGCGTCTCCATGGTGACAGAGGTGCGAGGGTTCACCGACCCACAGAAGGAGCAGTACTTCAGGAAGAGGTTCACAGACCAGGCCACAGCCGTCATCTCCCACATCAAGAGCGTCCGCAGCCTCCACATCATGAGCCACCTGCCGATCTTCTGCTGGATCCTCTCCACAGTTCTACAGAAGCTTCTGGAACAAACAGAGGAACCAGAGCTGCCCCGGACTCTCACACAGATGTACATCCACTTCCTGGTGGTGCATCTTAAACAGAAGAATGTCAAATATGATGAGAAACTGGAGGCAGATTCTGCTTGGTCTCCTGAAAACAGGAAGATGGTGAAGTCTCTGGGAAAACTGGCCTTTGAGCAGCTGCAGAAAGGAAACCTGATCTTCTACGAGAGTGACCTGAGCGAGTGTGGGCTGGACGCTGCAGCGGCCTCAGTGTACTCCGGAGTGTTCACACAGGTCTTTAGAGAGGAGCCAGGCCTGTACCAGGACAAGGTCTACTGCTTCATCCATCTGAGTGTGCAGGAGTTTCTGGCTGCTCTTCACGTCCATCTGACCTTCTACAGCTCTGGAAAGAACCTGCTGGAGACACCACACTCCTCTGACGGGAACCTGCTGTCTGTCATAAAATGTAAAAGAAGAAAACAAACACATTTCGAAACAAAAAATTCCATGTCCGCAGATTCAGAGGAGATTGAGGACTATTCAGATACAAATGATCACTTCTCAGGTGACTACTCCTTCAAAGCCCCTAAGGCCTTCTACCGCTTTGCTGTGGACCAGGCCTTACAGAGTCCAAATGGACACCTGGACCTGTTCCTCCGATTCCTCCTGGGGCTGTCTCTGTCGACCAATCAGCACCTGCTGCAGGGTCTGGTGACTCACACAGGAAGTGGATGGAGAAATCAGAGGCTGCTGCACAGTCTGCGAACTGATGCAGGGAGTCTGCAGACAAATGTGGAGACAGTAAAGTACATCAGACAGAAGCTGAATGAGGGCGTGTCTGCAGAGAGAAGCCTGAACCTGCTCCACTGTCTGAACGAGCTGAACGACCACAGTCTGGTGCAGGAGATACAGAAGGTCATGAGTGAAGGACGTCTCTCTGATAGAGACATGTCTCCTGCTGAATGGACGGCCCTGTGCTTCCTCTTACTGTTATCAGACTCAGACCTGAAGGAGTTTAATCTTCATGAATATTGTGCTTCAGAGGACGTCCTCCTGAGGCTGCTGCCTCTTGTGAGAGTTTCAAAAACAGCTTTGTGAGTCTAGAAAACATTTTTATCATTAAATATAATATTAATCTGTAAAGATCTAACCTGTGAGTTTGTCTGCAGATTAAAGCGTTGTCACCTCTCCTCTCGCTGCTGTGCTCCTCTGGCCTCAGTCCTCAGCTCCTCCAGTCTCACACATCTGGATCTCAGTGACAACGACGTCCAGGACTCAGGAGTGGAGCTGCTGTGTGCTGGGCTGAAGAGCGCCCCCTGCAGACTGGAGACGCTCAGGTGAGACACTCCCATGATGCACTCTGATTCCATCAGGTGTTGTACTTGAACCACTGCGGTTACACTAAAGGCCTCAGTTATTAATCCATGTGTTAAACTGTCAGTATAAACTGAAGTCTTTTAGAGCCAGGGGCAGATTACAGCTGCACAGTTTAGCAACAACAGAAGTTCTGTTCTTAAAGAAGAATGTGGTATGAGTGAAGGAGACATTAGACAGTGTTTCAGGTTTAGGTGTTTATGTTTATATATATACATATAAAATGTGTTTCTCACCTTCCACGGTGGTTGGTCTCTCACCCTCATTCAGCTCGGGTCGTCTACCAGAGGCCTGGGAGCTTGACAGTTCTGCGCAGTATCTTTGCTGTTCCCAGTACTGCACTTTTCTGGACTGAGATGTTCCGTTGTTTTTCCCGGTATCTGTTGAAGCCTCTTCCAGTTTGGGGGTTACAGCCCCGAGTGTCCGATCACCACAGGCACCACTGATGCCTTCACTTTCCAGGCTCTCTCCAGCTCCTCCTTGAGCCCCTGGTGTTTCTCTAGTTTCTCGTGTTCCTTTTTCCTGATATTACCATCGCTTGGTATTGTGATGTCCACCACCACGGCTCTGCTCTGTTTCTTATCCACCACCACTATGTCTGGTTGGTCCATCACCATCCTGTCAGTCTGTATCTGAAGTCCCACAGGATCTTGGCTCGGTCATTCTCCACAACCTTTGGAGGAGTTTCCCACCTTGATCCTGGGGTCTCCAGCCCGTACTCTGCACAGATGTTTCTGTACACTCTGCCCGCCACTTGGTTATGTGGCTCCATGTTTGCTTTCCCTGCCAGCATCTTACACCTGCAGTTATGTGCTGGACTGTCTCAGGAGCCTCTTTGCACAGTCGACACCGTGGCTCTTGTCTGGTGTGGTAGATCTGGGCCTCTATTGCTCGAGTGTCCAGGGGCCTGCTCCTGAGCAGCCAGGATCAGTGCCTCTGTGTGTCCTTCAGACCAGCCCTCTCAAGCCATTGGTAGGATTTCTTGATATCAGCCACTTCAGTTATGTTCCGGTGGTACGCCCCATGTAGGGGTTTGTCCTGCCATGATGGTCCCTCCAGCACCTCTTCCTCTGGACCCCACTGTCTGAGACCTTCTCTGAGCTCCTCATCTGCCGGGGCCTTGTCCTTGATGTTCTCAAGGAGCTTGGATGTTTCATCCTGGACAGTGGTTCCCACACTCACTAGTCCTCGGCCTCCTTCCTTCCGGCCTGCGTACAGTCTCAGGGTGCTGGATTTGGGATGGAACCCTCCATGCAGGTCAGGAGCTTTCGTGTCTTAACATCTGTGGTCTGTATCTCCTCCTTTGGCCAGCTTACGATTCCTGCAGGGATCTGATCACTGACGGCGTAGCTGTTGATTGCCTGGGCCTTGTTCTTGTCATTGAGCTGCTTCTTAGGACTTGCCTCACTCTTTGCAGGTATTTGGCTTTAGCCGCTTTCCTTGTTGCCTCTTCGAGGTTGTCATTTGCTTGTGGGACACCAAGGTACTTGTAACTGTACTCAACATCTGCTATTGTTCCCTCTGGGAGTGACACCCCCTCTGTGTGGACGACCTTCCCTCTCTTTGTCACCATCCTGCTACATTTCTTAAGCCCGAATGACATCCCAATGTCTGTACTGTAGATCCTTGTGGTGTGGATCAGTGAGTCGATGTCTCGCTCACTCTTAGCGTACAGCTTGATGTCATCCATGTAGAGGAGGTGACTGATGGTGGCCCCGTTTCTGAGTCGGTATCCATAGCCAGTGCGGTCGATTATTTGGCTGAGGGGGATTCAGGCCTATGCAGAACAGCAGTGGAGACAGTGAGTCTCCTTGGTATATGCCACATTTGATGGACACTTGTGCACGTGGCTTCCCCTTGGCTTCAAAGGTGGTTTTCCACAACCGCATCGAGTTCGCATTGAACGCCCTTAGAGTCCTGTTGATATTGTACAGCTCCAAGCACTCAGTGATCCATGTGTGTGGCATTGAGTCATAGGCTTTCTTGTAATCAATCCAGGCAGTGCACAGGTTGGTCTTACGGGTTCTGCAGTTGCGGGCGACTGTTCGGTCAACCAGGAGTTGGTGTTTGGCTCCCCTGGTGTTTTTGCCGATGCCCTTCTGTGCTGCACTCATGTATTGATTCATGTGCCCATTTATCTTAGCCGCAATGATGCCTGACATGAGCTTCCATGTTGTGGAGAGACAGGTTATTGGCCGATAGTTGGATGGGACTGCACCCTTTGAAGGATCCTTTAGGATCAGGATCGTACGCCCTTGGGTTAACCATTCAGGGTGAGTCCCATCCCTTAGCAGCTGGTTCATTTGTGCTGCCAGGCGCTCGTGGAGGGCAGTGAGCTTCTTTAGCCAGTACGCATGGATCATGTCAGGGCCCGGTGCGGTCCAGTTTTTCATACCTGAGACTCTTCCCTGGATGTCTGCCACTGTGATGGTGACTGGATTCTGTTCAGGGAGGTTGCTGTGGTCTTCTCTCAGATCCACCAGCCACTGTGCATCGGTGTTATGTGATGCCTCCCTTTCCCATATGCCTTTCCAGTACCTCTCAGTCTCCAGCCTTGGTGGGTCTGCTCTGCTGTATTTACCCTGCCACTGAGCGTACACTTTCGCCGGTTGTGTTGCGAACAGCCGGTTTATTCGTCTGGCCTCGTTATCTCGTGTGTACCTCTTTAGGCGGCTGGCCAAGGCTTGGAGCCTTTGTTTGGCAGTTTCGAGTGCTTCAGGTATGGGCAACTGGTTGTACCTCTTGGGCACTTGTTTTTTCATTGCACCTTTCTGGGCCTCTGACAGTTGGCTCACTTCTCTCCGCACCTCCTTGATTTTAGCCTCTAACCGTCTTTGCCATGGTGGGTATTGTATCGCATGGCTCCCATGGTTGCTCTTATAGCCCAACACATCTAGGATCACTGCTGCTGAAGTGTATATCAGCTCATTGGTTTCAGTGATTGTTGTGGTAGGATCACTGTCAGTGCTGCATTCACATCGTCTAGGAGACTTTCAGATGGTACTTCACTTAGCCTCTGTAACTGGCATCGGGGTTGCCTTGTGTTCATTCGGGCCATGATCTGGTTTAGTCCTGGTTTAGTCCTGGTCTAGACCTGGTTTAGTCCTGGTTCAGTCCTGGTTTAGACCTGGTTCAGTCCTGGTTTAGACCTGGTTTAGTCCTGATTCAGTCCTGGTTCAGTCCTGGTTTAGTTCTGGTTTAGTCTTGGTTTAGTCCTGATTCAGTCCTGGTTTAGTTCTGGTTCAGTCTGTCATCGTTTTTTTTCATTTTGGTTTTGGAGACAAATAATGAAGAAATCAGTCATTTTTTTTCCATTTTCTTATTTTTGGTTTTATTTTGAAAAACAAATGAACGACACACAGATTGGTTTCAGTATCGACTCAGAACTTTTCTATTATTTCCCAAAAAATCAGACCAGAAGAAAACACTTCTCACATTTGTTCAATTTCACTTTTCATGATCACTCGGGT